AATGAGGAAATAACTAAATATTCTGTTACTGCTGCCTTCCATTTTTGTCAAAGCAGGGTGCTATTCAGTTAAATGAAGCACTGTCAGGCCAGGGATTCAGCTCAATGGTTTTGCCCCCTGCCTCACAAGCGCAAGGACCCGAGTTTGATCCTTGGTACCAAAAAAAAAGCCCTAAAAAACAAAACGAAGCACTGCCATTCGTATTGTGCCTTTCTGTATGAATGCATGTGATTGAGGAAATAACTAAATATTCTGTTACTGCTGCCTTCCATTTTTGTCAAAGCAGGGTGCTATATTCAGTTAAAAATCTATGTATTTTTTTCCTCTATAGACTCTTGAAAATAATCTGTTACTCTAAGCAAAAAAAGAATGCCTTCTATGCATTTCACAGCTTATAATATTAGAGAAAGGTTTTCATTTTTTTCTTTTTTGGGGGGGTGGTGGAGGTGGTGCTGGATATTGAACCCAAATCTTTTTACATACTGAGCTCTACAGCTAACTGAACTATATACTCAGCCCTTAGAGAAGAGTTTTAATTGTACTTTTTTCCTTTATACCACGTCTAGCCAGGCACAGTGGCAATGCCTATAATCCCAGCACTCAGGATGAATGCTGAAGCAGGAGGAGCTCCATAAATTTGAGGCCAGTTGGGCCGTATAGCAAGATCCTGTCTCAGAAAAACATATATATCTAATCTAGGCACTGAAAAATTGTCTAGGCTTTTCTTTTCTGTGGGGGGGATTGAGACAGGGTCTCACTGCGTAGTTGACACTGAACTCACTGCGTAGCCCAGGCTGGTCTCGAACTCACAGCGATCCTCCTGCCACAGCCTTCGAGTGCTGGGATTACAGGCGTGCGCCATCACTCCTGGTTTAGGCTTTTCATTTGAAACATTCAGCTAGAATCTTGGGGTTGAATGGACCTTTAGAGGCATCCTAGTTCCACCTTCCACAGCAGCTAAGTTTAGCATTCTCTCTGATATATGATTGATCATCCAGTCACTGACGACTTCCGATAACAGCGAGCTCACAGCTTGTCAAAAATAATTATTCTACTGTTAGACAACTCTAGTCATTTGAAAGCTCATTCTTATTTATAATTGAAATCTGCCTCCCAGAAATTTACCTTGTTGCTGTTGATTGTCCCCTGAAGCATATAGATAGGCCGTTTCTTCCATTTAATTGCTGTGAAGATGGCGTTCGTGTCCTTTATTAAATATTTCTTCTAGGTTAAACATTCCTTATGTCACACATTTTCACATCCTTCTTGATCCTAATGCTAAACCCACTCATCGTACCAAGACCTTTCAACACATAGGGCCCAGAAAACAGGAGCTGACTGCCAGAGAGCACTGGGACTGTCCCACAGGTGTTTTGGACATGTACACTTGTTGATGCTTACAAAGTTTGCCTTTACACACTTTTGTAACTACAGCATACTCTTCCTTATAAAGAATGTGGTTGGCTAGGCACGGTGGCTCACACCTAGAAGGCTGAAGCAGAAGGATCACAAGTTCGAACCCAGCCTAGACAACTTAGCAAGACCCTGTCTCAAAAGTTTAAAATGTTATAAAAGGCTGGGGATGTAGCTCAGTGTAAAGGCCCTGGATTCAATTCCCAGTACCAAAAAAAGAGTGGTTATCAAAGATTCTAAGCATTTTTTGAGTCTCTGCCAAACTAAACCTTATACTTTTACAATTAATTTCTTTAGACCCAGATGCACAACTATACAATCATCACCGTTACATTTCACTGGCTACTGTCAGTCTATTCTTCAACATGTCAGAACCGTTAAAATGTTGATGTTATCCATTTGTTAGCTATCTCTCTTGGCTTTATGACATCTGAAAATTAAATTTTAATATGTATTTGTTCCTCGTCTTCATTCATGCAATGTAGAGAAACATGATGAGGGAAAGAAATCAAGTATTGAGTCTTGGTAGCATGAAACAAGAGATTGCTTTCTCCTATAATCCACTAGTAAACATTTTCTAGTAGTTGTTTACATGTTCAAACCCATATTACTATACCTTAATCCAGACCCTATTCTCTCTGCTTTATGCAACCAGACTGTTTACAGAATCCTAATATACCTTTGCTATTTCTGAAGCTAACAACCAAGTGGCCATAATTCTTTTTGCCTTAAAAAACAAAAGTACTACTGAGTGTAGCTCAGTGGAACAGCACTTGCTTAGTAAATGCAAGGCACTGGGCTCAGTCCCTAGCAGTGGAAAAAAAAAAGTGTTTTGCCATGACTTGCTCATGGTAACCCCTATCCCAGGCCACCATCACCACTGCCTCTTTCCTCGAGTTCACAGACCATGTGGGCAGTCACCCTTGCTGGGATCCTGCCATAAAGCATCCACACATTCACTGCTCTGGGTTGTCATGTGTTTAAGACAGGAGTCCTTTGGCTCACTCACCTCTGACATTTCTTAGTCTTTCAGCAGCAGCGAGGAGATTTCTCTGCTTTGGGGCCTGAGTGGCAGGACAGAGTGGGTTGCGTGCCTGGTGAGGAAGCAGCAGCAGAGTGAGTAGGACAGAGAACAGCAGGCAGGGAGGAGGGCCAGATAGGAATCTCATTTTAAAGCACTTGTAACAAGCCAGGCATGGTGGTGCATGCTTGTAATCCCAGCACTTGGCAGGCTGAGGCAGGAGGATTTTGATGCATTTGAGACCAGTTTAAGACTACATAGTGAGTTCAAGGCCAGCCTAGACTACAGAGCATGACCCTGTCTCAAAAAAAAAAAAAAAATTGCAACAAGTGTTCTGGTGATTATACAGACTACAGGGTGGATTCCCAGCATATTTTTGGTTTGTTTTTTGTTTTGCTTTTTGGAACAGGATTTCATTAACTAGTCCAGCACCTTGAACTGGTGACCCTCCTGCCTCAGCCTCCTGAATGCTGGGTACTGTGCCCAGCTTCCAGCGCAGCTTGTGGTGCCTCTCCTTTGTCTGCGCTTTCAGTCTGGGAGAGCATCCTGTCTAGCTCCACATGGTGCTTTAGGCAGCACACTTGCTCAGCCAGGGCACAGACAGCAGCTCCTCTTTTACCCCAAGCACTGATGGAACTCATCCTGCAGCTGTGTGTTGGGCTCTTCCATGTTATTTATGACCATGGTGGGAATTTTATTTTTCAGAGGTACCCAGCACTCTGGAACTGTTTTCTGCTTATGAGCTCTTGGATTTTTCACTAAACCTATTTTTTGCTATTATCTTCCTCTTGTAGAGTCTGAGTGTCTAAACCATGCCTTTTAGAGACTCTAAGAGGACATTCTTTTTCTTTTTTCTTTTTTTGGCAAAATTCTAATCAGCTTTATATCCAATTAGCTTGTCATACTTCGTGAAAAACGTGCTGCTATCTTCTGATAAACAAGATTGTGCACAAGCACACCAAGAATTTGTGAGCTCCAGAAGGCGAGTGCCTTTTTGCCAGCGGGGTCTCCATCAGACAGGCCCGGTCCACTTCCCCCACCCTCTCTGCAGGCTGCCCGGCCTCCCTTCTCATCATCCAAATGCCTCCTATTAGCCTGTCTCTTCAGCACAGGGCCTGCTCTGTGCTCCAGATGCACCTTCACTCCTCCATTCTCTGTAACCCTGAGATCATCTCCAACCCTTTCCAGTGCTAGAAATGGCAGAGCTCTGGGTGTGCAGAAGTGAAACCCAGGCCGGCTCACAGTGTCACTAGGGCGGGGTGGGAGTGTGGCTCGTTGGCAGCCAGAGCACTTGTCTGGAGCCCTGGGCCTTGGGTGCAATCCCCAGTACTACCCAAAAACATGCATGGGGGACTCTGGGTCACATCATTTAGTCTTGCTCAGCACAGTGTCCTGCCATGCAAAGTGAGGAGAGGACTGTGCTTGAGGTCTCTCTCAAATCTTAAAGTCTTTCTCTGGCTGCTGCCTCCATCTCTCTTATAACTACTCACACCCCTGCCAGGGACTGCTCTTTAATATTTTAAAAGGACTTTTGATCCAAATAGTTTTCAGAGCCATGCATGGTGGTTCACGCCTATAATCCCAGCACTCAGGAAGCTGAGGCGGGAGGACTCTGATGAGTTCAGGCCCTCAGGAGGCTGAGGCAGGAGGACTGTGATGAGTTCAGGCCAGCCTGAACTACAAGGTGAGACCCTGTCTAAAAGATATTTAAAGAGCTGAGCGTGGTGGCGCATGCCTGTAATCCCAGTACTCAGGAGGCTGAGGCAGGAGGATCACTGTGAGTTCAAGACCAGCCTGGGCTACATAGTGAGTTCCAGTTCAGTCTCAACTACATAGTGAGACCCTGTCTCAAAAAACCAAAATAAATAAATAATAATAATAATAATAATGAGATATTTTTTTAAAGTTTTCAGAGACATACAATGATATATCATTCAAAAGGTATTTAATAAGTATTAAATAAAATGCACTGAACATGCAGTACTTTGCATCCTCTTCTTTGTTAATATCTTTAGTTGGATCCTCTAACGGGGAATCTGGACTTAATTTATTTCAAGTGATACTGCACTTATACAATTATTCAGTTGACTTAGAGGTTTAATTAGTGACCTAAAGTGCTATACCTATCAGAGAAATAAAACAGAGACTGATAATTCACCTTTTTATGTTTTTTATTTATATTTGCTTATTGGTTGGTTGGTGTTTGGTTGGTTGGCTAATTTTGTGCTATGTAGCCTATGGCTAAAATGTTTTTCAAACCATCACAGGCAAGCTGGACATACTAACACTTTTAGCTACATACCTGAATAGAAAGTTCCATCTAAGGGCCAGGGATTTAGCTCAGTGGCACCACGCCTGCCCTGCGAGCTCAGGGTCCTGAGTTAAATACCTGATATGGCCTGTTGGGGGAGAGGGGGTGTCTATCTATAAGTTTGGACTTTTCACAGTCGAAAATGTAAATGAAACAAGAAATAATAAGAATGTTTTATTTCATCACTGCCTTTTTCTTGGAGATATTGGAACAAAGGTCACAGGTCCAGTCCCTACATGGTCTGTTTAACCCTCTCAGGACTGTAGGCCCATTTCTGTCCCTCTCCACAGGTGTCCTGAGGGACAGCAGCTGTTTCTGTATCTCCAGTCACTACTGTGAGCCCGGGTCACAGAGGTGTCCAGTCAGTGCCTGTTGGGTTGAATGAGATCATTGCAAAGATGAGTTGAAAGTGTGGGTAGAATCATATAAACCCAACCCGGGGTTTTCAGATACAGTAGACAGGTGTAGTACCATGTGCCTGTAGTCCCAGCGATTCTGGAGGCCAGCCTCGACAACATAGCCAAACCTCATCTGTAGATAAACTACACACCTGGCATGGTGGCACACACTGTGATCCCAGCACTCAGGAGGCTCAGGGAGTGGGATCGTGAGCTTGAGGCCAGCTTGAGCTACACAGTGAGACTCATCTCAATTAACACCAAAAAAAATAAATTTAGTCAATTGAATTTAACACAGGTACTCTGAAATTTGGCTAATCATCTCTCAGGCCTCACAGACTCATCTCAGGGAGGAGGGTTTAGGCACCTTCACTTTAAATCTGCCCAGGTGTGAGTCTCATGGCCAACCAAGGTTAGAAACCCTCCCCATTAATGCTGCTCATCACTTTTTTTTTTTTTTTTTT